CACTCACACTTCAACCATTTTTCTTTCTTCATGATGATTTAACTACTACGTAAATATTGTGAAAATAACTTAAATAATTTAGTAATAATTTTTTTAATAAAAATAAAAAATTATGAATTTAAGTTATATGACATGTTAATAGTATGAGTTAATTAAGGAATATGAAATAATTACTTCTCATTATACAAATTAAGATAAAAATATATATTTTATGTTATGTATAGATAATAGGGTCTATTAATCTTAAATAATAAAAAATAAAAGATCTAAGTTCCTATCATATAATATATGAGTGGGGTGTATGTTAAGGGATGATAGTGTTGGAGTATATGAATATGTGAGTAGAATTAAGTGATGTGTAAAAATCTTACATTAATGAAAAATAAAGTGTTAAAGTGCAATATATATAGAGACTTATAAACTTGATAAACATGTTTTTCGGATTCAATATAGTGTTTACTTATATATGTTTGTACTCTCATATGTGTACACCACAAGTGACTCATAATGTTAATTTTTTGTAAAAATTAGAAGAAAAACCATGCATTTTTGAAAGATTTATCAAAAGCAATTTTAGTAGTAATTTTAATGTCTGATCTTAATGTGTAATCTAATTTTTTTTAAAAAATTGTAATAAATAACTCAAGAAAGAAAATTAAGCTGGTTCTAAGAAGGTACTCAAAACAAATAAAAACAAAAGGCAAGAAAAGCGGGGAAATGATCATAACCCGGTCGACCAATGGAAACAAGTCCCCCTCAAAACGAAATTCAAGACGACCGAAAAGGACCCTTCACTTGCAAAAAATCAAATGTGGGTTCGATTTTTTCAAGTCCCTCTTCTGGGGGATGTTATCATCCACACAGGTTTTCTTTATTGGTCTTGCCTTTCTTCTGTCCTTAGTTCTCTTCTGATAAAACTAAACGATACATCTTTGTCACCCCCACTCTCTCTCTTGCAGTGAATATATTTGTACGTACGACCAAGTGTGTTTGGTGCATGAAAGGGCTATGTCTTTTTGTGAAACAGACGTGGGGTTGTGTTGCATGAGAAGTGTCATAAATTTTCATTTGAGTATTAAATTTTCCTTTTCCCCTCCGACAGCATATAAAGGATGGTAAGATATGTAATGTGTAAAGTTTAATTAAGTGTCTCTTGTGTTTTTCATGTATATATAAAAATGAGAATTACATTTTCTTTTTCCCCTCCGACAGCATATTATAAAGGATGGTAAGATATGTAATGTGTAAAGTTTAATTAAGTGTCTCTTGTGTTTTTCATGTATATATACAAATCTGACGTCAGAGGATGGTGCATGCGGGTCGGAGTCCCAAACAAGAATGCTTTGGTCCTTCTCACAACATTGTTAACATTGTGACACATGAAACATATAACATACCCCTGTTCTCTGTTTCTTGCTGGAGGACAAGAAAATTATATGAAAATGGATATTGATGGGCATACCGTTTTTATCTTTACTGTTGTCGGTAAGGTGAAGAGGAATCTTGTGCTTGTGGACTCGAGCTTTAATCTTTAATCGTGTATATTGTACCCTCCTGATACAATGTCTTGTGTATCTTGGAAACATTTACCCCGTGAAGAAAGCATTATGAAGGACAATATGAGAGAGATGACTCCAGGAACCACATTCCCTTTCCTCCAAAGCTCATGATACCTGCATTTGAGACATGATGGAAGGATATGCAACAAAGTAATGAATCTTCATTTGATCCCGAAGATTTCGGGAATAGACCATGACAAGCAGCAATAGTTGGTCAATGAAGTTGGAAATATGATCACCAGATGTATCATAACAGCGAACTCGTCATATTATTGTGTAAATAGAGAGTTATAATGTTGTATAACAACACAACTGCTGAACAAGAACCAAGGCTGCTTTCCACTGGACATGAACTTTTATCGAACCATTAACCAAACAAATGATGCCAGATTAGAAGCTACCCATAAAACATATTGTGACATATCCTAATTACAATTGGGGATGCTGTTCTTGGAATTGGAGGTTCACTATGATTGATGTTTTCCCCTTTCCATACTCATGTTCCATGGATCAGTTAAAGCTCGTTCAGGAAAAAGCACAAGAACCTGAAATAGTACAGGAAGATCAACTACCAAAGCTCTGTGATGATGTCCCATCTAGCTTCATTGAACCAAAATTCACATTTACCAGCCCAGCAGCTGCACGTGCAGCTGCAGACGCACGCTCTGCAGAGGCAATGGCAGCACGAGCTCTTTCCAAAACATCAGATGGCCGTGCTGTTGTCTCCCTCTGAGCATCAATAACTGGAGCAGCTGTACAATTTTTGACTGATGGTTGAATTTCATTAGTACCCAACAAAGTCGCATTGCTTACAAGACTAGGGGCTTGAACGTGTTGAGATCCTGGTTTAATGTCTCTAGACACAGTAGGATTTGCCCCATTAGAAGTTGAAGATTTAATAGAGCTCTGTCGGGTTGGGGCTTGAGAAAGTGAAGCCTCGGCACAAGCTTGCTTTGATCCAGCCTATAATAAAATATAAGATAAAATCAAACAGCCAAAATTACTTCCACTACTAAAAAGACAGAAAAGAAAGTACAATGCTACAAACTATAAAAAAGGCCCAAAATATCTAGTCATCTTCAAAGTACAATGCTCAACATTTTTTGAGGTATATGAAAATGAAAATACAATGGCTTGAGCTCCATGCCTGAACCACCTAAAATAAGTCGAGGTGGTAATGCTTGTCAAATTTTCAAAGATTCCTTTAGTTGACTGGATTAAAGGTGATTTGGGTGACTGGGTTTTAACAGGTTCACATCATGAATCATCAATTCTAAGCACTAAATCTATCTAGAACAATCAAAAAAAGTATTTATTTATTTATTTATTTTATCGGAAAAGAAAGTTGGCATGCTTAGCCAAAGAGAGAAGGTAATGCTTATTGGAGATCATATAAACTTGTAATTTATATCTTCTCTATGTGAATGCATAATGACTAATGATAGGAACCATTTCATAGATTATACTAATTTGGGGATTCTTAAAAATAGACAAACTAACTTAATAGTTTCACATTTTTTTTCACCAAGGAAATATTTCCTTTTGAAACAATCTCCATAACATTTCAAAGCCACAGAGAGACAGCAAATGCAAGAAAAGAAATGCAAAACATTGTTTCTACTAACTTTGCAAATGTTTTCATTGAAAAAGAAAAAGAAAAGAAAAAAAAAAAAGAAAAAAACAAGGACTATAGAATTGTTTTCTAGCCACAGAGAGGGAATGGTATCACATCCAAGAGGCATGCAGACACCATAGCCGACAGAAAAATCTGCAAACAAAAATGAGGCTTACCAGCAAATCTTCATGTTTCTTAGTTAACTCTGCTTCAGTTGTTGAAGAATCCCAATCTAGATTGTATTCTTGAGCAATTTCCTTCAATACCTTAATCCTAAGTTCTGCTGATGGAGAACTAACTGAAAGGTTTTCAATTATCTGGATAACAAATAACAAAAGAATCAGAAAGGAAACATCAGTTTATTTAAGTTACTAGGGCTTGCAAAAACTATATGAACTAAAAACACTTAACTGCACGGTTGACACCAGAATCAGGACGGAGCTCAGCTGCAGCTGCAACAAATTCCTTGCCATACTTTGTAGAGAGCAAATTCCTAATCTGCAATAAATCTGGCACATCTGAACATCTAGGAGCAGCAAAAATTATGCTTGCAATAGCTTCTCTTAATTCTGAAGGACACTCCCTGTTATGTGAAATGAATTATTACAAGCTGTCGCATAACTAGGTTTTAGTAATCAAAATCAGGTTCAATTACAATTAAAGAGCTTTCATCACAATTAATTCTTAGCCATATAGCCTATGACAAACTGCAATCTTGAGCATGGCAGAAAAACTTTCCAGTATCAATAAAACCATCACTGATCATATAGCAGAAATTTAGTACATACGACGTTGACTGGTGATAATGAACCTCATTGTCATTTTAGCCAATGGGAAAAGATTCCTCAATGGACACCAACCGCATGTTTCGAAAAAAGTGGATCCAACAGGAAACATTCTACACTTTTCTGTTTGTTTGCTAAGTTATGCATTTGAAAATTATGCTCCAATGGAGTAAAATGACAAACAAATTCACACATAAATCTGCTTGTACTCCCCTTACCCTGCTGTCAACAACAGTTCGCAACTCTGGAATTCAAAAAGGATTTGACTAAGTCAATCGAGCCATTAAATTTTTTTTTCCCCATGATTTCAGAAGGAAGCAAGTTTCCAATATTGAGACAAGTATACGCTACAGTTTCCTACAATATTATATCTAACAGACAAAACAACAAAATTGTGCCACAAAGTATCACAAGTCCTAATCTATAAATCATGCTATGAGAACTCACATGATCCAGTTGTTGGGCCCCCTTTAGTAGATAAATTTGGTAAGGAAATTATCCTTGATTCAAAGATTTATTTGGCCACCATATCTATTTCCTAATTGGCAACCAGGGTACATATACCTGCCTAGGTGTCATTCTAGATTAACTCTTAATTATTCAGTCCATGTTAAAGCAGCCAGTTTTCTTCCCTGTACATCCTAAAACAATCTAAGATGACCATGCCAAGTAAAAGGGAGAGGGGAAGGGGCACAGCTATTGGTTTTCAATGATGTTTTCTTCTGCCAACACTACTCTGGTCTAATGGTTAAAGTACATGCCAAGGTACCGGTTCAAATCCAGTCATCCTCATATCAATGCATAAATATACATAAACCATATCTTTGTTCTAGTGCTTTTATCATTTTAATTGTCAAGAAACGCAAAGCAAACCAACAACTGTTAATGAACTTACTTTGAGTTTTCAAGAATAGGAATGCGTGCCAGAACAAACTCACAGAACAGCTCTAGTATGTTAAATGCACCCCGAATGTTCTGCTCTCGAATTACATGCTCCACCTAATTCCAAAAATGTTAACACAAAGTTAATTAAAACCATCATCAAAGTAAACAAACATACACATCCTGGCTAGAAATACGAGCTCGAAAGGATACCCGGATTCTAGCTATAGCTTCTTGGCCAGCCTGTAAAAATTGGGCTATCTCCTTACGCATATGCTGCAGTTGCAAATCCCTCTTATTTTGCAGCAGCTTGATCCGCGAGATTGCCAATGTCAAACATGTTTTGCTATCAAATCAACCATCAATTTAAAAAGAAAACTTCAATAGAAATGTTCAAATTCCGGTAATTGGAGACGGAGATCTTTAAGACCCAGAAAAATTTGAGGTTCAAAAGAGGAACCCAACAATTTTCAACGGAGAATTAAGTGATAGCCGTACGAGATGGGGAAGGGAGAAGAACATACCATTTTGCACCGAAAACGCCTCTGTTAAACAATTGGTTTAGGAGTGACATCGGAGATCAAAGAGAGGAAACACCAATTTGATGATTCAAGGCGAGATCTTTCTATCTGCGATCAACAGCAAGAAGTCAAAGTCTATCAATTTTCCCCGTTTCGTTTTACCCTTCCTTTCCTTCAGGACTGTTGTGAAAGGGATGATTAACTTTGGGTGCCAAACCACGCCGGTGGTTTATCTGTAAAACCCCGTTTTAGTAATTAGTAATTGGATGAGTTTCAGGCGGTGGGAGTGGCGTCGGTGTCGGAATCTATAGGAGGTCCTTAAACTTTATCATGTTTTTCAATATGGTCCTTGAACTTTCTATTGGAATCATTTTGATGGAAAACTCCTGAAGACGGGTTACATAATTGATTGGATTGTTTGATATTTTGCTGGAAATTTTCGCCAAGGAAGAAAATGATCAACGAGTTACAATAAGATATTACAATTATTTATATTTTTAATTATAAGTTTAGAATTTAATTTTTAATTTTTATATATTAAATAAAATATTTTATTTATCAATATTGTACTTATAGTATTGGTTTTTATTTTTTATTATCTTAAAAATATGTAAAATATTAATTAAAATCAATAAAATTATATAAAAATTAATAACAAAAAGTATTTATCAACGGAATTTTTAAAAAAGTAAAAGAAAAAACTCTTCAAAACCATATCATTTTAATAAATTTTTATTAAAAAAACTAAAATATTTTATTTTTATCCATAAAAAAATTATTTTTAAACCAAAAATGAATTTATTTTAGTTTTTTTCATAATACTTTAATAAAATGATTTAACTTTAAAATGTTTTTTTTTTTATTTTTTGAGACCAACCTAATAAATACTAATCTCAAAATGAATTAAGAGCATAAATTTATATTTCTAATTAAAGTACCATGTGAAAAAAGTCCATTTGAAATATTGTCACAATGAAGCCTAATATTATCTATAAACCTTTTTCAAATATTATTAAGATAAAAAAAGGGGGTG